TTCCAATGATGTTTTGTAAAAGCGAGTCCTTGACCTATAGGAATTCATTGAGCGAAATGTCATTGCCGTAAAATGAAATATGCCAATGTTTTTGCCCCTTATTTTACTAAAAATACAATGTTTGCGTGTTTTTGCTTAAACTATCTGTATGCGTTTATAAAATCAAAACTGCTGAACCCCCAATTTGTTTTTGAAACTCATGTATATTCGTTATTTGATATATTTTCAAAAAATTTTATCGTGTAATAATTTTGTCTTCAATTCCAATTATATGGAAGTTAATAATAGTGTGTTTAGTTAATAATATTTCCATCTGTATACATTCTGTTCACATCGTTTTGGCACCCTCCACCAATGATTGTAAAGGGACCCCTCTTTTTTTGTATAGGTTTGAAAGGTTGTGAAAACGTTTTTCTGTGCGATGGAATTTGTTTGACTCTTGTGATTAGACTTTTCAAAACTTTGTTCAAGTTGCAATCTAATTAGTATGTACGTTTGACGTACATAAACCCGGGATAGTCACGTTATTAATCGGTTGTAGGCATTAAAATTATCAAATTAAATAAAACTTTGTCTCCTTATCCAACGATTACTCTTTCAACGTTCAATTTTTTTTTCGTTTCAACACATCTCGCTTTGTAAAACTTTTGTTGTTTAATACCAAACAAGAGTGCTCGTATCAGGGCGAAGCGCTGAATGTTCCGACTGCTTTTGAAGGTTTATGGAGCAGCAGTAATAACATAAAAACATTACATGAAATAAAATAAACGAAAAAATTTTTTTCTAAAATTTGAAATTTTTTTAATAAAAATCATCCCCCCACACGCCATATAAAGTACAAAAAGATAGTTTTCGTTTCTTGTAGCACATCAATTATGGCAAATAAGCTTCGTTCAACCAATTTGGAACGATTTATAAGACGGATTAAATCTCAGCTTACGCGTTAATAGCGCGAATTATATCGCGCGTTAATTGTCCCAAATTGATCAAAATGGCCAAAATGGCAATCTTTAAACTCCCGTAACTTTACGAAAAATGATCACAGGTGAAATATCTTTTCAAATTTGAGCTCAGAACAACAATAGCTTTCGAATGATAAAAAAAAATCCGTCAAAAATGGCTAGTTAAAAAGTCGAAATATGTCTGAAGAAAAAAAACCCACCCCGAGCACAAATATTCCGTTACTTTCGTATCGAAAGTCGGAACAATTATTGTCATTGTCGCTTGTTCTGTGTTCAAATTAACTGTTTTTCACTCCGGAGAAGTTATCTTCATCTGCCGTCATTCTTAGTGCCCTATTTGTTAGTTGCCCTATTTGTTAGTTGAAATTGTCTGATAATTGTTCCTACTTTCGATACGAAAGTAACGGAATATTTGTGCTCGGGGTTGGGTTTTTTTCTTCAGACAAATTTCGTCTTTTTAACTAGCCTTTTTTGACGGAATTTTTAAATATCATTCGAAAGGTTTTGTTGTCTTGAGCTCAAATTTGAAAAGATATTTCACCTGTGGTCATTTTTCGTAATGTTACGGGGGTTTAAAGATTGTCATTTTGGCCATTTTGATCAATTTGGGACAATTAACGCGCGATAGAATTCGCACTATTAACTCGTAAACGGAGAGTTAATCCGTCTTGAAACCGTTCCGAATTGGTTAAAAGAAGCTTATTTGCCATAATTGATTTGTTACAAGGAGCGAAATCTATCCTTTTGTGATTTAAATGGCGTGTGGGGGATGATTTTCATCAAAAATTTCAAAATTTAGAAAAAAAAAATTTTCATTTTGTTTTATTTCATTGAATTTTTTAATGTTATTACTGCTCCATAAACCTTAAAAGGCAGTCGGAACATTCAGGGCTTCGCCCTGATACGAGCAGTCTTGTTCTTTTTTGTCGTTGATTGTTTGATTTGGAGCGTGACGTTAATAAGCATTCGGCTCAAAAAAATTCATATATATATATATATACAAAATACGTGTCATATTTTTTTCATATATGAAAAAAACTGATCGTAGAGTTTTCATACAATTGGGCAACCAGAGCATGCGAAAACTCTAAGTAGTATCTACTTTAATGGCCCTCAGAACAAGTTCCTCGCTGCGTGCAAAAACTCTGTTGCGCCATCGATTTCACAAACAGCCACGGAAGCAGGGGCGGGTTTAGGCGGATGGGGTGGGGGTTGGGTGGCGGACGCTTTACCTCTCTCCCCTCAGGGATTCGACTTCCTGCCGACCCAGGGAGTCCCCCCTCTGTATTATTTTGAGTTATCCAACTTTGCTGACTGACCCTAAAATTTTTCTAACTTTGAGGGGGAGGGGTTTAATTGGGAGAGTTTTTTATTGGCCTGTTTTTTTTCTAAATTTTGCCTGCGGCGAAGAAAATTTGGTCAAAACAGGGTCTTTGTAGTGCTTTGGGAGAAGTGAAAAAATCAACCTATAAACTAAAATAAAAGTTAACAAAATTTTTGAAATTTTTTTGAAAATCCCCCCCCCCTCGAGAAAATCCTAGGTCCGCTCCTGCAAGGAATCATCATGTTTTGTTTGCAAAAAAAATTACCAAAGTTTCATATTTCATCGATATATTCATGCCAAATTGTCCGAAAACAAGATTAAATTCCAGTCCTTTTAGGAGATTTTTTTAAAATCGCCGTAATCCAAGAAAAGTTTTTTATCCAGCAAAAAGTTGAGTCATCTTCTTCTTCGAAGAGCAGCTGCTATTTCTTTTTTATTCTGCTTTAAATTTCAAAAAATATATATTACAAAAAAACAAAGCGACGTATTTTTGGCAGCTCTAATGTCTTTGTTTCGCCTAATGTCATTTTGATTTTCCTTTTACCCGTTCCCATGAATTTTTTAAACGATGTTTTTTTCAGGCAAAAACCAAGTCAGAAGCAATAAAAAAACAAAAGAGGATTTCAACGTTTCCTTCAACTCTTCTTTTATGAAGGCACTTAAAATAGAAAAATTAACGACGTTACTGCGAGGTTTCAAATTTTCAAACGTTTGTCTTATTAATTAAACAGAAAAATGAACGGTTGAACAAGGCACAAAGAAGTTTTTAAGAAGTTCAATGAAAAGAAACTGGAGGGTAGTAAATGGATTCATAGATTCTTATTAATTAAACAGAAAAATGAACGGTTGAACAAGGCACAAAGAAGTTTTTAAGAAGTTCAATGAAAAGAAACTGGAGGGTAGTAAATGGATTCATAGAGTTTGGCGTCAGTCAATTTTTGCAATTACTTGTTTTTCATAAAAGCTGTGACCTTTGATTACTTACTACCTCCACTTTTCGGAAGCTAAGAGAAATTACGGAATTTATCAATGTTTATTTTAAGTAGCAAGAAAAATTGAGTTAGCTGTGTGATTAAAACCAAAAAATAATCAAATGTTTTTCATCCTAAAAATACTCCCCCAAATTTTTTTTGCAGTGAGGGGTTGAGTTCATTTCACTTGTCGATCAAGATCAATTCCTCGGAGCTGTTCAGCGAGAAAGATTATTACGAGGCCAACCTATGAATTTTGTGAATTGTAGGCGAATTCCGCAACAGGTTAAAATCAAATTTGTTGCGGAATCCTCAACATTGTTACTTTTCTTTGATCTTTTTGCTGTTTTAGTTTCTACAAACAAATAGCTAAAACACTGTAAAAACAGGCGAGAAAAAACAAGTGAGTTTTGCGAAATCTGCAATCACTATTTGCGGAACCCGGAACAGCTTATGAAACCCACAAACAAGTCATAAAAATAGGCATGATAAAAATGAGTTGATGCGAAATCCGCAATTTTAATTGAAATCTTTAAATCTATTTTTGTGCGTCAACAGCATGACTGTCCATTAGTTCAATCTGATTTACTGCCAACAGTTTGAGCTTAGCAGCTAAATTTTAAATACTGAAAAAAAATTAACATCTCTCCGATCTCAAATACTGAAAGAATGAACACTTTTCTGATATCAAACACTGAAAGAATGAACATAATTTCGATCTTAAATACTGAAAGAAAGAACGCCTTTCCAAAAATTGAAAGAAAACCACTTTTTTTATCTCAGATTTTGAAAAAAACTAACAGCTTACCGATCTTAAATACTAAAAGATTGAACGCCTTTCTATCTCAAATACTGAAAGAATGAATAATTTTTTGATCTCAACTGTTGAAAAAATGAATATATTTCCAATCTCAAATGCTGCAAAAAGAATGAAAACAAAAAGAGGTAAAACATTTAGTGGGTCATAATGCTAAACTATTTTTAAATTTCTCTCTTTTTTGGAACATTAAAAGAGTATATCCGCGACTTTAGCTGAACAAAAAATTCAAACATTGTTATTGGATTCCACCAACAATAGATAAATCCTTGCTTTAAACTTCCGCATTTGCTTGATAATAATTCTAACAATAGCTCCTAATTGTTCACTCAAGGAACAGTTCAGTTCTGTATAACAA